GGAGAGACTCTATGAAGAAGGTCATGGGTTTTAAGGGGTTGCAGGAATTCAGCAGAGCAGTGGAGGACAGAGGGACTTGCCATGAGTCGAGATCTACTGAAGGGCAGTTAACAACAACAAAATTGATTGTTAGATTTGCATGCTTAATTCAATAAAAAAAATTTAAAGAAAAAAATGTGTGTAAGGAAAAAGATACCTTTGCTTTTACCTGACGCTCGCTATTTAGTCCTGACAATACACATCTCTGGACTGGATCTATAGTCACTGAATAAAGGCTCGCTGAATTTTAACTGCTGAATCTTGAGTTTCAGAACTTGGTTAGACTTGACGGGAAGCAGACCAAGTCTACGAAATCTCATGCTACAACTTCTGTGAATGAATAAACGTTCTCAGGATCAGACAGTCAGCTTCCAAATTATTATTATCTTATCGGCGACACTGAAGCTGGACAAAGTTCTTGCAGTTAGAAAAATTTGCAGTAAGACAGATCCCAAAATGAATTCAAAGGTTTTAGCCCACAGAATGACTGGGGCTGCGTCCGCTCTGAAGAAATAATGTGGTTTGACACTGCTTTAACTGCCATAGCTCAATGCTGTGGAATTCTGGGAGTTGTGGTTTGTTTGTGGCACCAGAGCTCTGCTTCTGCAATGTGGATGCAGCCTTGGTTTTGAGTGGCATAGGCACTCAGAAATAAAAAAGCTAAATGCTAGAGATACTTTCCCCCCCCAACTGCCATAACTTTTAAGCAATAACAGACCTCCCTTGCTTTCCACTCTGCACAATGTACAAATCGGAACAGCAGAGGTTTTGCTGGTCACCTCTCATATTCCTAAATGCTTTTGCTCGATGCCATCCATCCAATCTCATTTTACACGCTTCCATCGCCCTCCATTCCAGGTTGAGCTAAAAACTCACTGGATGCCAATTATAGATATTAAATCTTCGGTGAATATTTAGAGCACATTTGAATATTCAGAGAATCTTTGATGAATATTCAGCACCGGGGGCTGCAGGAGGAGAAATTCAGGGTGCAGTCTGCTCTTGTGACGGGTCTCTGTCTTTCCAAAAGTGGGCAGAGGGCAAGGGTTGTGCCCATGGCACTGGGTAAATGAATCCACTCTGGGTTTTAGACCAGTCTAAGGTGCTCACCTTATGGTGGGGGGGGGGGGCACAGTGTTCGGTTTCTATCCTTCAGATAGCTCTTTTAAGGTTTGGACTGAAATCCAGAGCAGATTCATTGCCCTCATAGGCATGAAGCCACTGGTGGAAGAGGTCCATGGCTGTCATCATGTGAGGAATGTGTCCCTTTTGTGCCTTTTATGACAGTCAAAGAGGAGAACAGCTGGGATGTGACGCTTCCTTTTCTTTTCCAAAGCAGCCCCCTGCCTACATCTGGAGGCCCAGATGTTGCCCAAT